GGGGGGGGGGGGGGGGGTGAGCTGTCACACCATTTTACTGTTTGGACTTTATTTTCAGTTTGCTCTGTTTTCCCCCATCTAGTTAATTGTCATGATTATTGATTTGAGTTCTTCATTATGTTCAGGTGTGTCTTGTTAATTATCCTTGTTTGGTCTGTGTATTTACGTTCCTGTCTGTTGCGTGTGAGTTTGTTAGGTATCATTAATGTCAATCTATGCGTGTGTCACCAGCCTTTTGTCACAGATCAAGCCGGAGATAACAGGTAAGTGAATGAATAGCAGATTCATTAACAGGTAGGGCTGAGACAGATCGACTGGAGCAATGACTGGTGACTATCCAACACAAATGACAGTTCAATGAATCTTTGCTGAGTACTGATGTTTGGTTCCTTTGCAGGTTCGTGGAGGGTTCGGGATCCAGGAGTGGAGGAGAGCAACGTAGGAAGAACTTTGGGGATCTAGAGGTAAGTATAAACAGGTAAGTAGCATACAGAGAGTCTGGTTAAGTTCAATGTAGTGAACGGTAGACTGGACAGTGAGTGACTGGAAGGAGCGTGCTTATGAATGGTGACTTGATTGCAGACGACAGGTGCGGGGAATCAGAACTCAGGTGAGTGTGATCTGGTGTAAGTTGTGGCTGGTGATTGTGGTGATTCGCTGACACCTTTCTTGTGTGGCTATACCTTGTGTGGATTTAAGGCTATTTATCATCTTCATCTACACTGTTTTGTGACCAACAAAACTAAACAAACTAAAACTGTTATTCATTTTTCCTGGAAATGTAGGCCCTACTCTTTACTCAGATCCAATTTCAGTCATTCTTCTTATAAAAAAATACATAAATATTTCTTGAGTGGATATTATGATGCATGTCAAAAAGGCATGTTTTAATCTAAATTATCACACCCATTTCAATACAGTTACTGACTGCGTGTATAACTAATTGAACCAGAACATTATAGAGACTCTTGGATGGCCACATAGACCACCCTAGCAAACACATGGTCCTAGCAATGCCAAGCTCATGGATTTGATTCACAGGGAGTGCATGAACTGATAAACTATAACTTGAATGCCATGTAAGTCACTTTGGATAAAAGCATCTGCCAAATGTAAATGTGTAAATGTTTCCACTGTGCAGAACTCCAGGGCAGTGGTGATGAGGTCTGTGCATGGAAGAAAAACATTGACATTTTAAGAATCTAGTTAACACCGATTAAATCAGTGTCCAGTAATTTCATTCCTATAAAGAATCCTGCTTTAAACTGCATGGAGAAGCTCGTGTTTCTACACACACACTTTATTTATCTAGCAGAAGCGTAATTTGGCCTGGTGTTTGTGTTGCAGTCAACTTTGTTGCATGTTCCATAAAAATCTGTTTAAAAAACTAAACGTCTGGCATGGCCATAACATGACATTATTCTTTCTGTCCCCTCCATTTATGGATATGTAATTATAACAATAAGACTTGTGCTGTCCAGCACTCCCATAACATCATCCAACTCAAGTAAACAGGTAACAGGCATACAGACAGATGCATCATCACAAGTACAGATATCATTAAACAGGAAAAAGACAAATCATTCCGGCCTGACGGAATTATTTCCAGGTGGAAGTCAGCGGTGTGTTGCTGGGTTTACAAACATTTCCATTATCCTCATCTGACACAACAAGATGACGCTATGTCTGCAAGAGCAGCAGAGCCCTTACATGGTCACGTGCGCATGTTAATAGCAAAACAGGCAGCTTTTGCTTTTGCATGAATATCTTGAGATCAGAAACTTTGGTCTGCTGGCATAAGCATAGTCCAGACATTTGGAATTCCATATTTCACTTTTGAGGAATAGTATCAGATGGGATTAGGATCAGTCCAGCTCAGCTTTCCCAAGATAATCTGGCCAAGCGTGCTCTACTCAGACCTAAAATATCCGTGCAATCCAGCGCACGATACCTCTCTTCACGCTCCCCCTGGAAGCCGGCGCTAATGAGTGATGCGGAGAGAGTCCAATACTTGCAGGAAAAAAACTAGTGGCTGTGAGTGTTTTGTGCTGTACTTTATTTTATGACTTAGCATGCCTGTTGGGATGCACAGCCAAGTTTGAACACATTTAACCAATCAATATAATATTCACACCAGCATATGTTATTGTCCAGTGCTTTTCCTCAGATGAACCCGAGTTTCAGGGTGAAAACTCGTTTTCTCTCAATAACCTATACATACCACTGAAGCTCACGAAACCTGCTACAACTGCAAAGCGTATTTTGGTGAATGTGATTTACAGCTGCTAGACCTGGGCAGTGAAATATAGGCATTTATTGCTCTGTTAGAACACACAGTGCACACACAATTGTAATGATTCACATACTGTTTGATAGCTCACCCAAAAATGAATATTGATTGTAGTCATCATTTACTCACTCTCATGTCATTCCAATCCATGTCATGTTCTTTCTGAACACAAATGAAGCAGAATGTCCATGCTTTTCCATACATTAACACACAATGAAAAATGACCAAGAAGCACTATAAAAGCAGTTCAAACAATGTAAGTGCTACATGTCTTCTAAAGCCATACAATAGATTTATGTGAGGAACAGAATCAAATTTAGGCTATTATTCACTAGAAATCTCATATTGTAATCTGCACTTGATCCCTCACAATGGGCCGCGAGAATTGGATTGTCAACCTGCTGCTGCTTTTAAAAGTGCATGTTTGAGAGCTACGGTGGAAGATTCTCAGTGAATAATAACTTCTGTTTGTTCTTCACACAAAGGTATCGTTTGACCTCAGAGGATTTAGATGCATGATGCTTTCATGTTTCGTTTCTGTTATCTTTTCATGCTCCACTGCCCTTGTCACTTTTGTTTTATGGAAAAGAACAGAATAAACATTCTGCTAAATGTGAAAATATGAGTTTGGAACAACAGAAGGATGAGCGGACGATGACTGAGTTTTCATGTCTGGACAATCTATTCCTTTGAGTCAGTTCTTTATGAATGCTAGTAATGTGGCTAAAGCTCTCCAGTTGGTCTAAATATTTCCATATTCCGAAGCATAAAAGAATCTTTTGGCCAAGAATCCCTCTTTGATGTGATTTATATCTCAGGATTAAAGCAAATCCCTCCAAAGGATCCTGCTGAATTCCAGGGGTGGCGAGCATTCTTGTCAAGTCAAAAATACAAGCTCTCCTGCACATGATGAACTCATCTCTAGATCTGATTCCCTGATAGAGACATGCACTCCAGCGATGGCTTCTGTGAAATGAGGAATCCCATCAACATCTAGCATTATCAAAAGGACACAGCACTGGCCAATTTTTGACAATTGATCTGTTCACTAACCTCAGCAAAGAAAGAGTAGTAAAGCTCTGGGATGATGTGCATTGGCCGGCTGATCTCTCACACAGACTCGAAAGCACTAAACACACACATACAAAATAGCCATGAATAAACAAGACCTGACAAGGAACACCGAAACAATAATGCTTATATGCACAAGGGCAAACAAGGTAACAAAGACACCTGTGGAGACAATCTAAAGTGAAACAATTAACAATGAAACTACAAAGGCTGCATTTACACTGCAAGTCTTAATGCACAGACCTGATCTTTTGACCATATCCCATTTTCTGGCCCACCAGTTTACATTCATTTTGACACGACTTGTATCCCATATCGGTGTCTACATTAATACCCGCCCGTCAGTGATCGCTTTACTATGCACATGGTAGTAGGCCAGCAGGTTTTGACTGGCCGTGCTAATAAAATTATTTATATAATTCACGTCAAGTGGACATTATTATTTGCCAGCATGGATAACAGCTGTCATGAAAGTTTTGCATGAGTAAAAACGCATGAGTGAGTAGATTAATACTGAAGCTTGTTGGTTTAATTACAAAAACAGCTAAGTTATCACCTAATTGCTGAGAAATATAATAGGTTTTAGTAGCAAAGCTATTGTATTTATAAAATTCACGGGGCAGAGGTTAAAAAACCAGCTCCTGAATGTTTCGCAGTTTCTTACATATAAAGTTCCCGCCACAATAAAATGCGAGCGCATATTCAGCACACCGGCTTTAAAATGCTATCTTTATGGGCAAACGTGTTGCTCTCGCATTGTGGTGGCTCGGGGTTCTGCGGAGAATTGGATATGTGTGTTTAGATGTAGGTTGTATGTGCAGATATCAGATATGTATCCGATTAAAATCCACATTTGGAGGTGTCCCTGATCGGATGCGAAAAAAATCGGATCTCATGCAGATTTTTGTGCTTACACGTGTGCAACAAATTCCAATCTGTGTCAGATGTGAGCAAAAAAATCTGATTTCTTTGTGCACTAGTTTAAATGCAGCCAAAGGGACTTTCTTACTATGTTCGACAGAACTGTGGCCTACAACTGACTGAGCAGTTAGATACAGGTGTGCTTATGTACACACAGGCATAAACGATTCATTCGATTATGACAGGTTTAAAAGGACAGCTCATCCAAAAATAAAAATTCTGTCATCATTTAACTCACCCCCATGTTGTTCCAAACCTGTATGAGTTTCTTTCTCTTGTTTCTGGTCCCAGTTGACTTCCATAGTCATTTTGTTTTTTTCATACTATGGAAGTCAAAAGGGCCTTTCGCACCACAGGAACCTTTTCATAGTACCAGAACTAATTGTTCGCACCGCCGGAACTGGGAGCGATTTTAGTACCGGACTGCCTTTTTCGAGAACCAAATTAGCTCCTGCTCCGGAGCGGGGTCTAACCAGCACAACTGGTACTAATCGTGACGTAAGTAGACATTGAATGGCCAAACGTGTATGAAAACACCCTCACCCGCCATGATTTAAAACGCCGTGTAAACATACTTTAAACATTGTGTCAACTTATTTCTCAAGTATGGAGAACAGCGATAGATAGACGGACGCTGAAGTGCAGGCACTTGTAGCAAATGTAGCACGGCCGGTTGTCGTTGGAGATTCTTAGTCCTCCTTTCTGTTCTTTCAATCGCTTTACGTATACGTCGACTTCCCATGTCCATTATTGTGAAACCCACGAGACACAACAAACACACAGCTCCAATCACAGCGTCCTCCATCCTCCTGTTGTTAACGTTGTTCTTCTTTGTTTCTGTTGTTGAACGGTGCACACAAATGGCGTCGCTGTCGACCGGTTCCTAGTACACACTGTCAGTGCGAATGCAACCCTTTAAATGGTACTGGGAAATAGTTCGCGCAAAATCGTCCCAGTACTTTAGTACTATCCATTTAGTTCTGGAACTAAAGCGGTGCGAAAAGCCCTAATGTGGACCAGCAACTGGTTGGTTACCCACATTGTTAAAAATAAATTGAAGTGGAGTTTACAAAGTTTTTTTTTCTTCTTCTTCTTCTGTTCTTGTTTGGAGATGAAAGGATCTTCCCTTTTCTGTGACACAAGTGAGAACAGACAAGTTTAATGCACAGAAAGTCTTAAAACGTTTAGATAGCATGTTTCTGCCATTTCCGTCAGGAATTCTGGTGTGGTTTTAGTGTTTATTATCGATGTGGGGACATTTGGTCCCAATCAGGCTTTGAAATGAACTTTTTTACTCACTTGCCAGCCAATTTGGCTACTAATTTTTTTGAGTAACTGGGCCATTCAGAACTTCTACTTGTCAAAATATCAAAAATAGACCAGATTATCATAGTTACAGTTTTAAATATTTAAAAAAATCTTATTCTAAATCATAGGAACCCTATCAGTTATACGACATTCAATCATTCTTTGTGAATTCTACCAACTATAACCTACCTGTCACTAAATGCTCCAAACTCACCATATTCACACCTCTTCTCCATTGACATCCATTCAAAAAGAGAAAAATATAGTGTGTACAAAATGATATCCCAGGACATAATGTCATGATTTCTCTTGTCTCCTCACCAGCGTATGGGCACGCTATGCTTTGATCTTCTCTGATAGCTATGCCATGCAGAGTGATAGAAGATAATTATAACCCGCCCAGAGAATTGACCTATCGGTAAGCCCCTCCCCTCAAACGCAGATGAGCCAATGGCAGTCGATACCGGAACTCGGTCATCTTTAGGTTTAAGTTTTTATCTTTAGGTTTCAGCGCCATAGAGAAACAAAGGAAGATCTTAAGCGCTCATCGGTTTGATGGTGTTTACGCTACAAAAACGGAAAAACTATGTGCCTGGGCTACTTGTAACACTGATTCCAGGTGTCCTGACAGGATAGGCAATAGAATTAATTTTATTACATTTCCTAAACCCAAACAAAACAGAGCAAAATGTCCGTCCGTAAGCATTCAACCCTAATCCCAATGAAGACGGAAACGTTCATTTTCTGGTTGACATACTCTCATTAAGTTACAGTTTTCATCTGCTTAAGCAGAACGTTAATGTCATCTTGTGCCTCAGCAAGGTATCTCTGGCTAAAACTAGCTAACGTTAAAGTTAGTGAGTGCATGCTAATGTACAAACCTAAATAGCAGACTGTTCTCACATCATGTACAGTGTAGGTCAAAAACACATTTCAGTGCCTCTTCATATTAAACTGGTTAAATGTAAATTAATTTAATCTGATGACCGTAATGAGGTTTCTCCCGCTTGCATTGGGATCTGCAATTTAATCGTTACCCACCATATTTATCTTAAAATCTTTTATATATCCCTCCATGGCATATTTAAGTCCCACTTGAATGGTGGTCCTTCTGTGTCTAAAAACATCTTGGGACAAGGTTTTCACACTGACAGCGGTCATTGTAAGACAGTTAGCAACTCCGTTTATTTGTCCGAGTGAGCGACAGTAACTAAGGGGGGCGGGGCTTACCGATAGGTCAAGTCAAGGTCAAGTTTATTTATAAAGCACCTTAAAAGCAACGAGTGCTGACCAAGGTGCCGCACAGCCAAAACATCAGAAATATCAACCAACAAAAAAAGCATTAAGACATATAAAATGTAAAATTATTAAGTACTACAAGAAGTAACACAAACATCACCAAACATAACAGAAACAAAACAAAAAGGTGTTTTCAAGTTAAGCAAAAGCCTGAGAAAAAAAGATATGTTTTAAGAGATGATTTAAAAGAAGATAACGTAGGGGATAATCTGATGGATAAAGGTAAAGAGTTCCAGAGCGTAGGACCAAGAACTGAAAAAGCCCTGTTCCCTTTAGATTTAAACGAGATTTTGGGACAGTCGATAACAACTGAGAGGACGATCTAAGCGTTCTCACAGGAGAGCAGAAGTGGAGAAGATCTGAAATGTAAATAGGGGCAAGACCATGAAGTGCTTTAAATACAAAAACTAAAATCTTAAAAGCAACTGAATTTAACAAGTAACCAATGAAGTGAAGCTAACACGGGGGTAATATGCATCACTCTATAGGACACTTGACAGCATGACCACGGTTAATTTGAATTTCAAACCCCACACAACACACACACCTGACTGTGTCAAACCAGCAGCATTTGTTCTACTGATTTTCTGTCTTATTTGTATGATTATAGAAACCGGCCTGTTGAGTGGGCTACAGAGCACGCGTGACAGCTTTCTGACGGCGGCAGGCGGAAACAATCTTCTCGAGTTCGTCTCATGCCATAAACCTTTTGGCTTATTAACTCACAAATGTACTGTGGATTAATTCCAGCAGGTCCTGTTTTGCAAAACTCCAGAATCCCCTGCGGTGGACGAACGAGCTCTGGAGATGCAGTAAAATGATTAGCATATGGGAAACAAATGACTCTTGACTGATTGTGTGATGAATGGCATGACCTGTAAGTGATTATAATGTGATTTGTTAATTTAATAGTGTGATAAATTAATGTGTATGCATATTTGTCATGCCTCCACTAGGCTCTGCTTATTCTCACTTGCACCTGTAACCATTCACATGCACAGCCGAACACTGCAGATATAAACCCTGCCCCGCCACAGTCAGTGACTGATTACAGACTCAACAGACCGCCGCAGTAGTGTTCCTCAACCCGCCTTCCCTCTGTGTTTACAGCCTCTTCTCAGGAGGCGCTTATATGCATTTTGGCCATTCATTTACACAACAACAGCCTTTTGGGGCCTGAAAGGCAAACTTTTTAAAACAGATTTCAAAGTGCAAATGTTTGAAAACGATACTGCTATCTTCTCTGTGTAAACTACAAAAAAGTGAATTTGTGAAACGGTGACATCATGCACGTGTGTATTACATGTTCAGTCTATAGAGGGTTTGCACGTGATGTTTCCGTCATCTGGTCATCACTGAGTGGCAGCATTGGTTTTCAGTGTAACCACCAGTTAAGTCTACTTACCTATTGATTCTGAGCATGAGTCTTTTTTTTGTGCAGTGTGAAACCTTTGTACAGAGCCACATACATGACACGAGAAAAGATATTTACATCATGGCCACAAATGAACAATTCTTTCCCATGACTTCCCTGTTGAAAAAAACAGCATATGCTGGTTAGGTATGTTTTGACGCTGGGATGGTGGTTTAAGGTGGTCCTTTTGCTGGTTTATGCTGGTCATATGCTGGTCATTTTGCTGGTTTATGCTGGTCATGTGCTGGTTTATGCTGGTCATATGCTGGTTTATGCTGGTCCTTTTGCTGGTTTATGCTGGTCATTTTGCTGGTTTATGCTGGTCATATGCTGGTTTATGCTGGTCATGTGCTGGTTTATGCTGGTCATTTTGCTGGTTTATGCTGGTTTATGCTGGTCATTTTGCTGGTTTATGCTGGTCATATGCTGGTCATTATGCTGGTCATGTGCTGGTTTATGCTGGTCAATTTGCTGGTTTATTCTGGTCATATGCTGGTTTATGCTGGTCATATGCTGGTTTATGCTGGTCATATGCTGGTTTATGCTGGTCATATGCTGGTTTATGCTGGTCATATGCTGGTTTATGCTGGTCATATGCTGGTTTATGCTGGTCATATGCTGGTTTATGCTGGTCATATGCTGGTTTATGCTGGTCATATGCTGGTCATTTTGCTGGTTTATGCTGGTCATGTGCTGGTTTATGCTGGTCATTTTGCTGGTTTATGCTGGTCCTTTTGCTGGTTTATGCTGGTCATTTTGCTGGTTTATGCTGGTCATATGCTGGTTTATGCTGGTCATGTGCTGGTTTATGCTGGTCATATGCTGGTCATTTTGCTGGTTTATGCTGGTCATATGCTGGTTCATGCTGGTCATGTGCTGGTTCATGCTGGTCATTTTGCTGGTTTATACTGGTCATTTTGCTGGTTTATGCTGGTCATATGCTGGTTTATGCTGGTCATGTGCTGGTTTATGCTGGTCATATGCTGGGTTTATGCTGGTCATATGCTGGTTTATGCTGGTCATATGCTGGTTTATGCTGGTCATTTTGCTGGTTTATGCTGGTCATTTTGCTGGTTTATGCTGGTCATTTTGCTGGTTTATGCTGGTCATTTTGCTGGTTTATGCTGGTCATTTTGCTGGTTTATGCTGGTCATGTGCTGGTTTATGCTGGTCATTTTGCTGGTTTATGCTGGTCATGTGCTGGTTTATGCTGGTCATTTTGCTGGTTTATGCTGGTCATGTGCTGGTTTATGCTGGTCATGTGCTGGTTTATGCTGGTCATGTGCTGGTTTATGCTGGTCATGTGCTGGTTTATGCTGGTCATGTGCTGGTTTATGCTGGTCATGTGCTGGTTTATGCTGGTCATGTGCTGGTTTATGCTGGTCATGTGCTGGTTTATGCTGGTCATGTGCTGGCAAAGGACCAGCATAAAGCAGCAAAAGGACCAGCTAAAACCATCATCCCAGCGTCAAAACATACCTAACCAGCATATGCTGGTTTTTTCAACAGGGTTACTAATTCGTCTGTGGCAGTAATGTGAAATGTGGTCAAATCTGGAAAAATGTGACACATTTAACACATAACACATAAAAGTTATGGGTAAATGATGCTCCAATAATAATTTTTATAGTGTAGTTAGAACAGTTAACTAACTAACTTTTCAGACTTTATTTCGCCATGACAGGCATCGACCTGAAGGAGAAAACCAAGACTAATGGCCACTATAGCGCCCCCTGTGGTAATGCTGAGAATGCAACACATGCTTGTTATGAATTGCGTCAACACATTTCTGAACGCAATAACAATGTGTGAAATCACGGCTGCATAGCTAGAGGTGTTTGCGCCCCATTCTTGTATGAATTATCACTGGGGCCCGAGTGTTGCGTGGACTGTGTGAACTTTGCAGACACTGCACATGAAACAATGTTCAGCCCAAGCGGTAAAGTGGGAAACATAAGCTTGCTGTTCTCGTGAGTCACTCGGGACAGGCCAAATCACTCCCAGGCCCGTGCCAGCATGTTTTCGAAGCCTCTGGTGGACCTGTGTGCCCAGCTGTGTGCTGCGTCCAGCCATGCCAAGCTCTTGATTGAAGCCCGTGTATCCGGGACAGCAACTTATATAAAATCCAGTGTAGGTTCTGCCCTCTGCTGCGAGACGCCCCGGCGCCTGTGCCCAGTGTTCATTAACTCTGGTTTATTGCTTGTGTTGCAGTTCACAACGTGAAGCCCGAGTGTCTGGAGGCGTACAACTCTCTCTGGTGAGCCACTCCTCAGTGTTAGTTACTGCTGAGCTTCAGCGCACGTGTCCTGCTCTCTGGTGCGGTCAGTGGTGGGCAGCATTAATCACGTCTCGGTGTGCTTGTGTCCGCAGTGCCGAGGTGCTGCCGTTCATCCACAGCGACAGCACGTACCCGTGTGAGCTGGTGGGCACCTGGAACACCTGGTACGGAGAGCAGGACCAAGCTGGTAGGACAGCCTCGCAAACCCAGGAGCATAGACCCCTCTCCTGAGTAACCTGCGTTCCGTCTGGGTGCTCTCGTGTCCTGGTCTCCATAGCAACCCATGTTAAAACAGGGTCTACACCAGCGACTGAATTGAAGCTTTTTCAGTATAACTAAATGTAGAGGAGAGCGGGGCACGGGAACACTTTTGGACTTTCTCAGATTGTGTAAATCCACATGGGGCTCAGAATATAATTATTTTTTTATCCAGTCATTTTAGTGCAAATATGTCGCTTTGTTTCATAATTACAGTATATACGTTTTTCTTTATTTACCCTCCAAAAAATGGAAGTGAAATGTGACAACATGCCCCGTAGGTGCGGTACATTGTAACATCTGAGGGGCACGTTGTAACACGACTGTATGACAGCTTAAAATCTTTTCTGATTGCGTATTTTGTTAATAAAATAAAATAATTTTTTTCAAATAAAATAATGGCGTTTTTTTAAGAAGTAAAGATAATCTGATTTTGGAGTTTGACGATGAACACATTGCAGCCATGCTCGGGACGAGTGCTCGTCTCGTCTTGTTACTCGTTAAACTATGACAGGTGCTCTACTGTCAGGTGAGACTTGCGTTCAGAAAAAAGGTCTATACGTCTTGAGTTACAGCTATGCAAACTTTGGGGGGGGTCTCAGAAAGTGCTTTTTCCCATTTTTGGACTGTCACCATTATCATATAATGCAATCAACACAGATTGCTAAAGTCAACAGATTGATTAACAGACCTTCTGATCTCTGTGTAAAAGTAACATCTTTCTGAAGTCAGTTTTAACCCAATCCCAGGTGACCCTCCTCCACAGAACAGTGCAATACTCAGTAAATACACGTCCGTGACTTTTTATATTTCAGAGAGATGTGCTGCTGTAATCGCTACAAAAGGTGGACATGCCAAATATTAAAGTTTGATGTCAATATTATCAGATCTGTCAGGTGTTGTAATAATTCTGGCCACCACTGGCTGTATATTAATGAGATGTTAGTTTGTGTTTGTACACACTGTAACGTGCCTCTGGTTCACTATCTAGTGCACTTGTGGCGGTACAGAGGAGGATACCCAGCTCTGACTGAAGTCATGAACAAACTGAAGAACAACAAGGTAAAACAGTGCAGAACCAGTGTTACACAGCACAAGACATTATGGGGTTATGTTTACTGTAGTCTGCGTGTGAGTGTGACATCTCCTAACATTTTGGCGTGAAAATACATGTTGAAAATAGAATGTGTTAGTTGATTAAGCAGCATTAACAGTGTGACTAATGAAGAATATCAGCCTACAGCGGGTTTGGAGTAACTAATGGACAGCGTTGAGAAGGTTACTGTAACGGGTCACAGATTACAAGTTACCCTAGTAGTGTAACTATTTCAGTTACTTTATTAATGTAACTGATTCCATTTGATTACTTTTCTAAATACCTAAAGCATGTTTTCAACAGTTAATAATATTGAAGCATGTAAAGCAGGCAGGGTAACATTACAGTAGTGCTCTGATTACTGTCAGACTTTCACTTTAAGATTATAATTCTTTCATTTTGAAGCACAGCCACCACAGAATCAGACTTTAGCTCCTCTTTTTACCTTAAGATCGTTCTGAGGATAAATACAGGTTTAAAATCACAAGATATAGTTTAGTAGCTATGATACTGTTTCTGAAATCAAATCTTTTCACAGCTATGACCGAAGCACTGATATCTGACAGTGTCTTGGACAAACTGTTCATCTTAAAAATAAAGCATATTTACCCGATATAGCGGACAGATATATCGGAATCGGCCGATAATGGGGTTAAATGTAGATATCGGCATCGGCCCGATATCTTGTTGATAAGATGAATGCATTAACTCGCATGTGCTCAGGGTGTGCTAGCGATTAGATCACGTCAGCAGCTCATTCTGGAAGCAAAGTTTTGCCTGAACGGTGAATACAGTGGCTGTTGTAAGATCATTTAAACTGAGAAAGCAGTACAGAATGCGTTCGGGGTGTGAGAGTAAACAGTAATAGCACGTGCAGTGGGTCCTCACGCCCCTTCGGTAACGAGTTTTAATCAAATTTTAAATCATAAAATAAAATGGTAAGGTTACCACTGCATCTTTCTGAAAAAAAAAATGCAGTGATTAATACATAGTTTATTTATAATTATTTTCAAATCTTCAATGTACTGTAATTATAAAATAAGTTTATTATTGTTTATTTAATTCTAACAAATAAGTTCTTGTTAAAACTAACGAAAAATGTAAAAGTAATTATAAACCAGTATCGGCCATAATAAGTTGAAAATTATCGGCATATCAGATATCGGCAAAAATCCAATACCGTGCATCCCTAACATAAACCCAAATAGGAAATAAAACAGTTAATGAATATTCTGTGTCCTAAACTCCTGAGACATTGGTGTCTCATATTTTAGAGCAATTTATGAAAGAAATCAAATCTGTGTGTGTGAGTGTGAGCGTAAGTGAGTGTGTGAGTGTCTGTGTGAGTGAGTGAGTGTGTGTGTGTGAGTGAGTGAGTGTGTGTGTGAGAGAGTGAGTGTGTGTGAGAGAGTGAGTGTGTGTGAGAGAGTGAGTGTGTGTGAGAGAGTGAGTGTGTGTGAGAGAGTGAGTGTGTGTGAGAGAGTGAGTGTGTGTGAGAGAGTGAGTGTGTGTGAGAGAGTGAGTGTGTGTGAGAGAGTGAGTGTGTGTGAGAGAGTGAGTGTGTGTGAGAGAGTGAGTGTGTGTGAGAGAGTGAGTGTGTGTGAGAGAGTGAGTGTGTGTGAGAGAGTGAGTGTGTGTGAGAGAGTGAGTGTGTGTGAGAGAGTGAGTGTGTGTGAGAGAGTGAGTGTGTGTGAGAGAGTGAGTGTGTGTGAGAGAGTGAGTGTGTGTGAGAGAGTGAGTGTGTGTGAGAGAGTGAGTGTGTGTGAGAGAGTGAGTGTGTGTGAGAGAGTGAGTGTGTGTGAGAGAGTGAGTGTGTGTGAGAGAGTGAGTGTGTGTGAGAGAGTGAGTGTGTGTGAGAGAGTGAGTGTGTGTGAGAGAGTGAGTGTGTGTGAGAGAGTGAGTGTGTGTGAGAGAGTGAGTGTGTGTGAGAGAGTGAGTGTGTGTGAGAGAGTGAGTGTGTGTGAGAGAGTGAGTGTGTGTGAGAGAGTGAGTGTGTGTGAGAGAGTGAGTGTGTGTGAGAGAGTGAGTGTGTGTGAGAGAGTGAGTGTGTGTGAGAGAGTGAGTGTGTGTGAGAGAGTGAGTGTGTGTGAGAGAGTGAGTGTGTGTGAGAGAGTGAGTGTGTGTGAGAGAGTGAGTGTGTGTGAGAGAGTGAGTGTGTGTGAGAGAGTGAGTGTGTGTGAGAGAGTGAGTGTGTGTGAGAGAGTGAGTGTGTGTGAGAGAGTGAGTGTGTGTGAGAGAGTGAGTGTGTGTGAGAGAGTGAGTGTGTGTGAGAGAGTGAGTGTGTGTGAGAGAGTGAGTGTGTGTGAGAGAGTGAGTGTGTGTGAGAGAGTGAGTGTGTGTGAGAGAGTGAGTGTGTGTGAGAGAGTGAGTGTGTGTGAGAGAGTGAGTGTGTGTGAGAGAGTGAGTGTGTGTGAGAGAGTGAGTGTGTGTGAGAGAGTGAGTGTGTGTGAGAGAGTGAGTGTGTGTGAGAGAGTGAGTGTGTGTGAGAGAGTGAGTGTGTGTGAGAGAGTGAGTGTGTGTGAGAGAGTGAGTGTGTGTGAGAGAGTGAGTGTGTGTGAGAGAGTGAGTGTGTGTGAGAGAGTGAGTGTGTGTGAGAGAGTGAGTGTGTGTGAGAGAGTGAGTGTGTGTGAGAGAGTGAGTGTGTGTGAGAGAGTGAGTGTGTGTGAGAGAGTGAGTGTGTGTGAGAGAGTGAGTGTGTGTGAGAGAGTGAGTGTGTGTGAGAGAGTGAGTGTGTGTGAGAGAGTGAGTGTGTGTGAGAGAGTGAGTGTGTGTGAGAGAGTGAGTGTGTGTGAGAGAGTGAGTGTGTGTGAGAGAGTGAGTGTGTGTGAGAGAGTGAGTGTGTGTGAGAGAGTGAGTGTGTGTGAGAGAGTGAGTGTGTGTGAGAGAGTGAGTGTGTGTGAGAGAGTGAGTGTGTGTGAGAGAGTGAGTGTGTGTGAGAGAGTGAGTGTGTGTGAGAGAGTGAGTGTGTGTGAGAGAGTGAGTGTGTGTGAGAGAGTGAGTGTGTGTGAGAGAGTGAGTGTGTGTGAGAGAGTGAGTGTGTGTGAGAGAGTGAGTGTGTGTGAGAGAGTGAGTGTGTGTGAGAGAGTGAGTGTGTGTGAGAGAGTGAGTGTGTGTGAGAGAGTGAGTGTGTGTGAGAGAGTGAGTGTGTGTGAGAGAGTGAGTGTGTGTGAGAGAGTGAGTGTGTGTGAGAGAGTGAGTGTGTGTGAGAGAGTGAGTGTGTGTGAGAGAGTGAGTGTGTGTGAGAGAGTGAGTGTGTGTGAGAGAGTGAGTGTGTGTGAGAGAGTGAGTGTGTGTGAGAGAGTGAGTGTGTGTGAGAGAGTGAGTGTGTGTGAGAGAGTGAGTGTGTGTGAGAGAGTGAGTGTGTGTGAGAGAGTGAGTGTGTGTGAGAGAGTGAGTGTGTGTGAGAGAGTGAGTGTGTGTGAGAGAGTGAGTGTGTGTGAGAGAGTGAGTGTGTGTGAGAGAGTGAGTGTGTGTGAGAGAGTGAGTGTGTGTGAGAGAGTGAGTGTGTGTGAGAGAGTGAGTGTGTGTGAGAGAGTGAGTGTGTGTGAGAGAGTGAGTGTGTGTGAGAGAGTGAGTGTGTGTGAGAGAGTGAGTGTGTGTGAGAGAGTGAGTGTGTGTGAGAGAGTGAGTGTGTGTGAGAGAGTGAGTGTGTGTGAGAGAGTGAGTGTGTGTGAGAGAGTGAGTGTGTGTGAGAGAGTGAGTGTGTGTGAGAGAGTGAGTGTGTGTGAGAGAGTGAGTGTGTGTGAGAGAGTGAGTGTGTGTGAGAGAGTGAGTGTGTGTGAGAGAGTGAGTGTGTGTGAGAGAGTGAGTGTGTGTGAGAGAGTGAGTGTGTGTGAGAGAGTGAGTGTGTGTGAGAGAGTGAGTGTGTGTGAGAGAGTGAGTGTGTGTGAGAGAGTGAGTGTGTGTGAGAGAGTGAGTGTGTGTGAGAGAGTGAGTGTGTGTGAGAGAGTGAGTGTGTGTGAGAGAGTGAGTGTGTGTGAGAGAGTGAGTGTGTGTGAGAGAGTGAGTGTGTGTGAGAGAGTGAGTGTGTGTGAGAGAGTGAGTGTGTGTGAGAGAGTGAGTGTGTGTGAGAGAGTGAGTGTGTGTGAGAGAGTGAGTGTGTGTGAGAGAGTGAGTGTGTGTGAGAGAGTGAGTGTGTGTGAGAGAGTGAGTGTGTGTGAGAGAGTGAGTGTGTGTGAGAGAGTGAGTGTGTGTGAGAGAGTGAGTGTGTGTGAGAGAGTGAGTGTGTGTGAGAGAGTGAGTGTGTGTGAGAGAGTGAGTGTGTGTGAGAGAGTGAGTGTGTGTGAGAGAGTGAGTGTGTGTGAGAGAGTGAGTGTGTGTGAGAGAGTGAGTGTGTGTGAGAGAGTGAGTGTGTGTGAGAGAGTGAGTGTGTGTGAGAGAGTGAGTGTGTGTGAGAGAGTGAGTGTGTGTGTGAGAGTGAGTGAGTGAGTGTGAGTGTGTGTGTGTGTGAACATTCAGATGTAACCCCCTTTTGTAATCATTAACATTTTCATAAGTAACTGTAATTTAATTATTTTCTGAGTAACTGACAGTGTAATTAAATTTTTTTCTCAGTAACTGACAGTGTAACAGATTACGGTTACATTTATTTTGTAATTACGTAATTCCGTTACATGTAACTAGTTACTCCCCAACACTGTTAATGGCTGCAGTCGTATCTGATGACGTCTGCAGGTGGCGCTGTTCACACAGAATCACAGGACTTCCTCGTGCTCACCTTATGTTTGAAAATGCATTTACATGTCGTGAAGGGTTCAATGTTTTGCTGCAGTATGAGGTCCTGCATGTGTCTAGCTGAACTGACCTGATGGTCAGCAGTGAGCTGATGAGTGCAGAAGCCTGTTAAAGCACTGCTGTCTCGCAGGACTTCCTGGAGTACAGGAAGGAGAGGGGGAAGATGCTGCTGTCCCGCAGGAACCAGCTGCTGCTGGAGTTCAGCTTCTGGAACGAGCCGGTGCCCAGAGACGGACCCAACATCTACGAGCTGCGCTCCTACCAGCTGAGAGTGAGTGTGCTGGGTCACGAGGTCATGAGGTCATGTGTTTTGATTCACTGAACTTACCAGTGCCTCTCAATAATGACACACTCTTCAGCTTAGCACTTTTCTCATGTTGCTTCTCCTTATATTACCAGTAGAACCAAACTGAATAGACCAAAAGTGTTAAATGTCACTGGTCCTACAGGCTTGCTGAAGCTTTTTGAATGAATTCAGATTTACAGCCGTTGTTTGTCTCGTTTCTTGCAGCCCGGCACCATGATTGAATGGGGCAACTATTGGTAAGAGTGCAAACAATACATAACACAGCTGAATAAACTTGGACGCTTGAATGAAATGTATGTTTACAGCTCAAAGCACCGTTTAAATCATTGAAATGAAGTGTTTTACATGCATGCACTGCTGTAATGTACTGTAATATTTTTAAGCTTATTGAATGCAACAAAAACGTGTGTTAAAATCACATGTTATTTCAATGCTGTTGTGCCAGAGTTAATTTGCATCAGTGCACAAAGTGTTTACAAACTGAATTTCACTAATATATGGTTCTCTGATATATCACTTCAGTCTTCCAGTAGCTTCAGAAAGCTTGAATGCAAGTCACTTTAGATAAAAGCCTAGTGCATAGTCTTGATCATTTGATTCCTGGTTGAAGCAGGCGTTTCGTCAGTGATGTGTCTCGCTCTTTATAAAGCGCTGAGTGAAGTGTGTGATGCTGTTCCTCAGGGCGAGAGCCATCAGCTACCGGCAGCACAACCGCGAGGCAGTGGGTGGCTTCTTCTCTCAGATAGGAGACCTCTACATGGTGCATCATCTCTGGGGTGAGAATGAACACGTGCCACCAGAAACACTTCATCAAGTCACGGTTACAGACTGTTTCAAAGCAGCCGCGCATTCATAAACAGGAAAATAACAGAATCGATGATGCAAACTTAATCAAATACAGGGCTTAAAGTTCTCCGGCGTGTGGCGTTTAGCTGTGGGACAATAAGATAGTGCTTGTTGATATCACGTTCGAGTCCATGAGTTCGCCTACCAATGTATGAGAGGAGCACAGCTTTCACTCTCAGCCAAACTAACATTACTAGCCAATCAGACATTTTTGGTCCTATAAACATGAGATGCACATAATAATAGTATCCAGCTGCAGAGTCGCAGCTGATGAGCACATTCTGAAAAAGCAGCGAGGCGCAATGGTCAAAGATTTCCATCTAGAGCCATATCTATATAGAAAAGCTATCTTCTATATAATTAACAGAGCTTTGTAAACCGCTCAGAGTAATCACGTCATCTCCATAAGAACGATATGATTGGCAGAATGCATTTACCTGTAGTTTTGAAAAGGTCTGTTCACACATGATCTCTTAAGGGTAATGTACCAGTGAAGACTGTATGTGTGAAAGGGGCTGAACTCTTCCTCTGCATCTGCGGTGAGTTTGGGTTGCTTAACGTTCATCTGCGGAAACTGTGCGTATCTCACTTAATTTGTAACTTAAGTCATTTATAAACCTATGCCAACACAGAATACATCGACATATTTCTAAATATGCGATTTATTGTAAATCGCGATTTCAAAATAAAAGTTTCTCACTTTGCATGTGGCCAAATATTGCAATTAAATGGGTTTAAACGTCGTTGAATCGCATGAAACATCACCAGGCCGTTGGCGCCCTCTGCAGGTGTTTGTTATAATATAGGCATATTATATTGTGTGTTTAACAGTTGTTCAATAAAACCATGCACTTGGTTTTGATACTTTATTTGAGGCCAATTATTATTGCCTCATCGTTACTTTATATATAAATAGTCATATTAAAGCCTGTTTTTCACTTAGTTCTATTTGTGTTACTAAAACATGCGTGTCAAAATAATCAGTAGATTACTTGATTAGCAAAATAATTGTTAGCTAAGCCCTAGATTTGTTAAAACATTTCAAAATATAACTGCATTGTTCTAATTTTTGTAATTAAAAGACGAATATTTTGTCATTGAAAATTTCTTAAAAATAGTATTAAAGCATTGTCTCGTTCTACTGAAGCAAGTATCTGTATTTTGTATCTGTATCTGTATTTCATCTCGTGAGCTGTGTGTTGTCACACACCTAGTGTCTAAGAGCGTGATAAAGCTCATAATTTTCCAAATGTATGATATCGCTTTCATTCTTCAGGTCAATCATATACTCGTGAAAAAAAAATCACTTTGAATAAGGAAAGCGATAACTTTGCCACAGTATCCTTTCAAATGTTAAAGTTGCCGCAGTTATTGCGTGCTTTGCATGCGCTGCACTTTATTTGTACCATTTTGTTTTATTAGTTTATCTATTAGAATTTGAAAGACAATAACAATATTTTTTGATATGTGAGATCTGATTTTAGTCCTTGAAAACCAAAAGAGTAGTGCAAGTCCTTGAAAGTGTTTTTTTTTTTGTTGGTTTGCCAAATAACCCCAAAGTTCAGGCTCAGGATTGTTTTTGCTTTAACCCCAGCAAATACGAGGCCAACCCGGATTGAGCCCTGATGAAGACAGTAGTGTGCTTCTTCAGATCAGTTTAGCTCTCTTCCCACAGTATCAGCAGCATCTCTCGTGTGTCTGCAGCGTGTTTATCATGAGATGTTGAGAAGCTCAGCGCAGACGGTGTTATATATCAGGAGTCTTCAGTCTGTGTTTTGAGGCAGAGGAGTCTTTGGTGGATAAGCAGAGCACATTTTACACTTCTTCACCAAGATTACTAAGTAATCAAACGGTAATTGGCGCCTCTGATGTGTGTAGTTGTGTCCATCTGTTTCAGCGTATAAGGACCTGCAGTCCAGAGAGGACACGAGGAACGCCGCCTGGCAGCACGAGGGCTGGGATGAAGTGGTCTATTACACCGGTAAACACACGCCACAGCTACACCGCTCCAGTTATCATCACTGCCTTCAGGAGAGTCAGAAGTGAACTGTATGTCTCATACTGTTCACTTCTGACCACTTCCAGAAGTCTGTCTCTGGTCTGCTAACATGTCGTTCTTGTTCATTAGTCAGTGATCTGCATGATAGCCAAATGCAAATGGCACACTTAGAATCAGCTCGACCTTTTACCTGCTTAACTGATGTAGAAATAATGAAGGAATAGCCCACATCTGTCCGTGAAACAGCTTTTGAGCCAACTGTCCAATTACTTATGGTCCTTGATAAAGGGGGGGGTAGGCTGTAATTCCTTAGCCTTTCCTCTAGTTGTGATAAGAATACCCTCAAATTAAAGCTAAGGGTGTGCACTTTAAGCCCATGTTCATTATATAACTGTGACATGAATATGTTTTGCTCAGCAGCTAAAATAATACAAATTGTGCCTCTGTCCAAATATATATAGACCTGACTGTACAGACAAGAGCAGTTTAACATTACTTCTGTGTTCTGGAAGTGACTTTTGCTGCTCTAACACAGCATGAAGAGTCAGATTTATGATGCATTATCGCTGCTGTTATATTTTGACACCGGGTTAGTCCTAAGTTCTGTGTTGTTTTCAGTGCCGCTCATCCAGCACATGGAGTCCAGGATAATGATCCCGCTCAAAGCGTCTCCGCTCCAGTAATGCGTCACGCCACGTCCCCACGAGCACAACACCAGACGCTTTCACTGCCCTGATTAACTCATGATGCCAACCATCATCAACACAACACACTCCTGCTGACCGCAGAGACTCTCGAAACGTTGCACCAGCAAACCAAACTGAATTTGTAAGGTTTGAGGAGACATATCTGAAATCTGCTGGTTACATCAATCTGTTAAATAAAGTTGCGTTGGAAGATGTAAAGGATATAAAAGAAAGTGCATTGAATCACCACAAGTCTTGAACCCTTTTTAGTTCGGTGGGCGATACATCTTTGATTCATCATATTTCAAAACTAACAGCATCTATGAATGCAGCATCTTAGAAGTATAAACACACATTTACTGCTCTCCCTGCTGAGACAGCACTGTAAATGTGCTCGAGTGTTCATGTATTTATTGCATAAGTATAAGCTGTAAATATAAACCCCACACGGAGAGGATTTCATGTTTGTGTAACACAGCAGAATGCATCCTACATATTCAGATCAAACCTGTGAAAGCGGAGCTGGACGAGCCTCGCTGGGGACCGGTCGAGTGCAAAATTACTTTTTGTTTTGTTTTTTAGAAATCGTTTTTATTTAGTTGCTGCAGTTTTATTCTGTTTCTACATAGACGTGCTTTTTAAATGCCTTTTCCGTGTGTTGTGAAACGTCTGCAGTTTCTGGATGAAGCGGCTCTCTGACAGACTGAGTTAGTTTTGTGTGTGATCGCAGCGTGCTCAGTGCACTGTACACTGATCCCACGGAGAGGTCTCGCATCAAGCCAACACTGTAATAAATCATAAATCATCATTCTACCACATTCTGTCATGTTTACAAAGAAAACATGTTTAATATTCACGACAGACGCCAGCGATTGCACATGCTGTCATTCAGCTTCATTCTGTAATTGTCAAATATTCTTCTTGATTACACATTTCTTGTCTTTATCTTATTTCATAAATTAACGTTGCAAGTTAAAAGGTTTTAAACTTTTCTTATGCAGTCGAGAAAAGTAAAAAGCCTGAATGTACGTCAGCGATTTCTCTCATTTTAAGGATATTATCAAGAAATATTTTATTTCGATCTGCAGTCTAACAAAAGTTAAGTAAAAATAAACCTATCTATAGACTACAGGCTAATTCTTTTTTTTCTTAACTTATAACTAAAGCATATTTAAATCTACTTCACAACAAATAAGCTATTCTTCTTGACATATTTAAGGAATATATAAAAATGTTCATTAAAAAATCAAATATGAAAATAAGAAATTGAGTTTAATTCAGTCTATATAATTCTGTCAATGGATAAGGAGGTTACAATGCCTTTAATGTCTGCAGCTCTTCTGTCAGCTGTCTGACGATTAATGTTTGCTGGAGACTAATATAGTGAAAATCTAAATACACAAATAGCATTTTATACCACTTTTGTTTCTGAATAAATGGAGCAGACAAAGAGTGAAAAATTTAAGGGGGTCTGAATACTTTCCGTACCCACTGTATGTTTTATTTTGTTCTGACCGGTAAAAAATAAAAATAGGCCACCGTTTTTAATCAGAACCAGTTCATTTTTAATCCCTTTCACACATACTATGAGATAATGAATATATTGTTGCTTGACTAAATGTTTAAAAATCACATATTTAAGGAAATTAAATATAGGTGTCTGAAAAGAGATGACGAAATGTGTCTACTCAAGCAAATATTCAAAAAAAGAAACAAACAAAAAAATAGATGTGATGGAGAGGGATGCTGAGCTGCGACGGCACGTGTGCAACGATGCAGCAGAAACCACCGGCGACGAGGAACACCTTCACGCTACACTGATGAAGCTTCTCCACCAGCTACTCATCTCCACAAACATGTGCATGCACTCTAGAAGCCTACAGTGTGCGGCGGTGTATACTGCATAGAGTCTGGTGTGTGTAGTGAATGTACTATAGAGTGTAGAGTTTATAGTGTACAATATAAATAGCCTTAAGTGTATATAGTGTAGAGTATGTAAAGTGTATATAGTATGCATTGTGTATACAGTGTAAAGTGTACACAGTACATAGTTTGTGTAGTGTATATAGTTTATAGCAGAGTATAGTGTAAATAGTGTAGTGTGTAAAGGTTATAATATGCATAGTGTACAGTGGGGGAAATATTTATTTGATCCCCTGCTGATTTTGTAAGTTTGCCCACTTACAAAGAAATGAAGGGTCTGTAATTTTTACGGTAGGTTTATTTTAACGGATAGAGACAGAATACCATCCAGAAAAAAACATTATATAAAGGTTAGAAATGCATTTGCATTTTAGTGAGTGAAATAAGTATTTGATCCCCAAGCAAAGCATGACTTGGTACTTGGTGCACAGAGGGAAGACGTGTTTTGTAGTTGGTCAGCAGGTCTGCACACACTGGGATTTTGATCCACTCCTGTTTACAGATCCTCTCTAAATCCTTAAGCTTTCTTGGCTGTTGTTTGGCAACTGGAAGTTTCAGCTCCCTCCACAGATTTTCTACAGGATTGAGGTCTGGAGACCGGCTCGGCCTCTCCATGAGCTTAATTTGCTTCTTCTTGAGACACTCCTTTGTTGCCTTGGCGGTATGTTTCAGGTCATTGTCATGCTGGAAGACCCGTCCATGACCCATCTTCAGTGTTCTGGCTGAGGGAAGGAGGTTCTCGTCCAAGATTTTACACTACATACCCCGTTCATTTGCCCCTCAATGCGCTGAAATCGACCTGTACCCTTAGCAGAAAAACAGTCCCAAAGCGTAATGTTTCCAGCTCCGTGCTTGACTGTAGGGATGGTGTTCTTGGGTCATAGTCAGTATTTATCTCCCTCCAAACACAGCGAGTGTCTCATCTGACCACAGCACTTTCTCCCAAGCCTTCTCTGAATCATTTAGATGTTCTTTGGCAAACTTTAAACGGGCTGTACATGTGTCTTCTTGAGCAGGGGGAGCTTGCGGGTTTGCTTGGTGACTGTGGTCCCAACTGCCTTAAGATCATTAACAAGCTCCTCCCGTGTAGTTCTGGGCAGATCCCTCACCTTTCTCATGATCATCCTTACCTCATGAGGCGAGATCTTGCACGGAGCTCCAGACCGAGGCTGATTGATGGTTGTTTTGTATTTCTTCCTTTTTCCGAATAATCGCACCAACAGTTGTCTCCTTCTCACCAAGCTTCTTGCTGATGGTCTTGTAGCCCATTCCAGCCGTGTGCAGATCTGCAGTCGTGTCTCTGACATGCTTTGACAGCTCTTTGGTCTTGCCCATGGTGGGGGGAGAGGTTGGAATGGAAGATACAGATTGTGTGGACAGGTGTCTTATACACCTAACGAGCTGACATTAGGAGTAACTTCTTAAAGTGGCAGGACTAATCTGTGTTCCACATGGGCACATAACCAGTCTGTGGGAGCCCGAATTCTTGCTGGTTGGTTGGGGATCAAATACTTATTTCACTCACTGAAATGCAAATAAACTTCTAACCTTTATATAATGTGTGTTTTTTTTTTTTTTGGTTGGTATTCGGTCTCTAGACGTTAAAATAAACCTACCGTAAAAATTACAGACTCTTAATTTTTTTGTAAATGGGCAAGCTTATAAAATCAGCAGGGGATCAAATAAATATTTCCCCCACTGCAAGTGTGCATCATTGATCACTGTTCTCACTAATAGGCTATGTCTAAATTTATATAAATTTGGTGTAACTTCAGTGTAATGACTTTGTAATTTCAGTGCTTATCTCCATTAATGAAAGTGGAATATTTAATGTAAATGTGTATATCGACATGAAGTAAACAATGATTTTAAACTGTTTTCATTACTTTTCTCTCTCCAGGAAAAAAAAGTGGGTCAGAGTTTGCGTGCAGGTGTGCAAATGTTCCCGTCAAGTTTGTTTTTGTAAATCCCAGCTTCTGCGCAGGAAGTGGCGTACGGCTCTTTCAGGGCAGGTTTTGTGCGTACGCAACGGTTATAAATGAGGCCCCTGATCATGATGAGATGGATCAGCAGGCGTGGTGCCGTGACCCTGCTCACTCTGTCTGATGGATAACTGATCGGGAGCCCCTCGAGGACCCGGTCTACAGTCTCGCTCCAGCCCGGACAGGATCCAGCAGAGATTAGCATGGAAACATGAAAGAGCAACAGAGTCAGGAGAATTAAAACACGGTACCTGTGCTCTAGTGCTCTGATCATCTCGCACTGCATTTCTAGATGATGAAGAGGAAGAGTCGATGTCTGGATGAGGCTGTAGCGGCTGGAAAACACCTGGAGAAAGAATAAGACTCTTCAGCACAAAGTATGCTGTGCTTGTATATGTTCTGCTCGTCTCGTGCAAAACAGAGTGTAATTTCGGTCCTCAGCACATGGCACACTCATTTTTCTGCTTTTATGTGGTCCAAAAAAACAAAACCACACACACACACAACATGGACCATGCACTAATGAATCACAACCAAGAGACACCAAAATCTTGCTTAGGTTATCTCTATGTTAATCATCGCTATTTCATCTGTGACTCTCACATGAAATTGTAATTTAGCAGTTTCACTGCTGCATTTAAAATATAAGCAGCATAAAATATAATGCATTTACAATTTGAATAAATGGGATATAAAGGAAGCACTTTTTGCGGACTTCACACAAGCATTTCACTGGAGCAGTAAAGCCCTTCAAATACAGAATACAATGCAATTCTTCCGCCAGATATAATACAGTATTCACCTCTTATACGGGATGTGTGTTAAAGCATTCACTTTCACCACCTATTGGAGATCTGGGGAATTACCCATCAAACTTCTGAACCGTTTGACCCAAAATCACAAGACCGGCCTTCTTACTAGTGGTCGACCGATATGGGTTCTTTGACAGCTGATGCCGATATCTTGGAAAACAGGGTGGCCGGTATAAAGCCGATATAATTTTATTTATTTATATCACATGATCAGATACGGTCAGTGATCCGTCAGTGAGCCCATGCGTGTCACATGATCAGATACGGTCAGTGAGCCCATGCGTGTCACATGATCAGATACGGTCAGTGAGCCCATGCGTGTCACATGATCAGATACGGTCAGTGAGCCCATGCGTGTCACATGATCAGATACGGTCAGTGAGCCCATGCGTGTCACATGATCAGATACGGTCAGTGAGCCCATGCGTGTCACATGATCAGATACGGTCAGTGAGCCCATGCGTGTCACATGATCAGATACGGTCAGTGAGCCCATGCGTGTCACATGATCAGATACGGTCAGTGAGCCCATGCGTGTCACATGATCAGATACGGTCAGTGAGCCCATGCGTGTCACATGATCAGATACGGTCAGTGAGCCCATGCGTGTCACATGATCAGATACGGTCAGTGAGCCCATGCGTGTCACATGATCAGATACGGTCAGTGAGCCCATGCGTGTCACATGATCAGATACGGTCAGTGAGCCCATGCGTGTCACATGATCAGATACGGTCAGTGAGCCCATGCGTGTCACATGATCAGATACGGTCAGTGAGCCCATGCGTGTCACATGATCAGATACGGTCAGTGAGCCCATGCGTGTCACATGATCAGATACGGTCAGTGAGCCCATGCGTGTCACATGATCAGATACGGTCAGTGAGCCCATGCGTGTCACATGATCAGATACGGTCAGTGAGCCCATGCGTGTCACATGATCAGATACGGTCAGTGAGCCCATGCGTGTCACATGATCAGATACGGTCAGTGAGCCCATGCGTGTCACATGATCAGATACGGTCAGTGAGCCCATGCGTGTCACATGATCAGATACGGTCAGTGAGCCCATGCGTGTCACATGATCAGAT